GGCGGAGCCGGCTGGAAGGATGAGCCTGAGCCGCCAGGCCACGTCGGGGGAGAGGACGGGGCGTGCGGGGCCTCTGCTGGGCGAGGGGCTGGGCCAAGTCAAGAACCGGGAAGGGGTCCTGGTCAGCTGTCGTGAGGGGAGCTGTGACAGGGCTGAGGTTCCGGGTGACGGCCTTTGCACCTGGCCGGAAGCTCACAGCGGGTTTTCAGCAGAGGAATAGCACGGTCCACTTTCATGTCTAATGACATCTCTTTGGGTTTCGGGGTCCTGAGATGACTGCGTGTGCCAAACGAAGCAGGGGGATCCGACGAGAGACCCTGTGCCGTCCTCTCGGGAGGAGGTGGCATTGGCCTGAACTCAGCGGCGGCTGGAACTTAGACGGAAGCGGGCAGACCTTAGGCAGCGAGCAGAGGCCCAAGCGACAGGGCTCGAGGACTGTCACAGGTGGGAGACGAGGCAGCGCGAAGGGGACCCACGTAATGCCTCCCAGAGCAACTGGCTGAACGTGTGTCACACGTACACCGGGGACGACGGCATGGTGTTGGGTTGGCGGCGGGGCTCAGAGCGGTTTGGGTTGTCTGAAATTTTAAGTTGTCTCCGAAAGGAAAATAGTCGTAGATGGCACCGTATTCGTCAGGTTTTGATAGGTAATTAAACGCACAAAGAGACGAGGTCACGTGCTCCCCGCGAGGAGGGCATCTGCTTTTCATTTCGTAAATGTTAAAGGTGACCGTTTTAATCCTTAAACAGAAGCTCGTTAGGAAATTATATTAAGAGGGAAAGGTTCATTTTGTTTCCTAAAGACCTGCGCGTTCGAAGGAGTGGAGAAGCGTGGGGACCGAATGTCTGATTCATACGGCACCGTGTTTCGTGGGAGAGAAAAAGATGTTGACTCTTTAACTTTTTTCTGAAGCAGCAGAATATTTGAAGCTTTAACTCTTCTAAATGTATGAAGTTTCTAGAGTGTAGTTCATTTCAGAGCGTCAGAGGGGCGTTCGGGTTGGGAAGATTATCTAAATATTGTTCGCCAGCATTTGTTTTTCCATTCTGTTCTTTACCCTTTTGTCGCTCTCTGTGGTCCTTAAAAGTAGGATTAAAATTTCTGGGTACGGTGGTTCATTTGCTTTTCCTGAGGAGACACATCTAAAAGTCCAGGAAGAGAAAAACGTGTCGTTTTTCTGAAAAGCTCAGCTCGTTCACGTGTTTCTCCCTGGCTCGCCGTTGGTGCGATTACCTCCTCGCTCAGTGTGCGCACGCGGCTTGCACAGTTTTAATTTATCCTCGTTGGCTGAGAGGGTCAAAGTGGAGAATTGGCGGAGATATGATTCATGTGGCAGTGAACTCCCACTGGGCTACACCCCAGGCCATCTCCTCTACCACCCGTGGCCACTTAGACCCCTGCGCGCTCGGCGTTTGAAAGGACTTTAAACATTTCCTAAGAGCAATCAAACGATGTTCATTTCCGAAATTATTTTCACCGGTTCGCTTTTGTTTTGGTCTAATGACAAGAATTAGGCTTGGAAAATAATTACGGAGTGAAAAACGTGATCAATAAAATGTCAATTTTGAAGCAGTCTTTAGCCATTGGCAACTGAGAATAAAAAGAGGAAACAATTAATACTTTTTAAATATCTCATAATAACACGGCGCCGTCACAGCCACCTAACAGAGGTCCCAAACGCTTTCCTGAACTCGGTGTACACGTGAATATAAACCTCAGGACTGCAGGGGAAGGAAGCTCTATACTTATTTCGTAACTGAACCTAGAAGTTTGGACATTGAAGCAGGAAATGCAGTTTTCCAGACCAAGTATTGAAAACAGTGCACAGGAGACATCATCGTTTTTACAGATAAAAACCGCTAAAAGCTAATTAGCACTGCGAAGGGCAGTGCTAACTGGTGATAACTTACCCCAGCCATCTCAAGTAAAGAAAGACAGCAAGGCCAACACGGTCGCCTGATATTAGAATAATGTCCTTATATCTCAAGCTGTCTTTGAAAAACAATTCCATTTTTTTCCCAGGCTTTTTTTTTTTTTTACATTCTTTTGTGCATACAGAAACACTCAGCCGCCCTCTGGCCTCTGAAAAAACAGGGACAACCTCAGATCTAGTGACAGTCGGAGGCCACCTCAAGGAGGCCAGGAAAATTCCTTACACAGTTGTAAAGGTTGAAATAACATAGAAACAGGCAAAGAAGATGTAACTGCATTTCTTGCTAAACGGCGCTTTTAGTCCACAGACCCGTGTGAAATTAGATAATGTGCTCATGTAAGATAGCACTGTCCCCTGGCAATGGGACACGAGCCTCATATGCAATTTAAAATCTTTTAGGAGCCACGTTAAAAAGTAAAAAGAAATAGGCAAACTTAATATTTTATTTAGTCCAGTATATCCCAAATATTGTTTCATCATGTAATCGAAATAAAAAATAATTAAGGTATTTTACCTTTTTATTTTTTTTTCGGTAATGAGTCTTCAAAATCCAGTGTATATTTTACGCGTACGGCGAATCTCAATTTGGCCTGGTGACATTTCAAGTGCTTGTGTGTCTAGTGGCTATTGTATTGAATAGCAAGTTCTAGAACCAGTATTTTCTTTTTCTTTCCCATTTTCCTTCCTGAGGGAGATCGGAAACCATCGCTGAGTGAGTAATTTTGGAAGTGACGGCCACATATTTATGGCTTGGTTAGGAGGGGCTCGTGGCAGTGTGATGAATATCCCGGATAGCTCGAGCAACAGTTAAGCCGTCGAGGACTTGGGGTGACACAGGCTCAGGAAGGCTTCGATTCACCGCCGTTTTCTGAGCACGTGTGTTTTGATTGTCCCAAGAACCCCTGATTTGTGGAGAGCCGAATTGTTAATTTCATGTTTTATAGAAAAATACAGTCGGAGGGATTTTCTTTCGTAAAGATAAAAGGCGTTGACATTTTTCAATGTGTTTTTTATTTTCTAGATAAAAATTGAAAAATAACCCAATCCTGTGCTTTTATAATACTTCGAAAGGCTGGAATCATGCTTCTTCCATGATCAGACTTTTTTGGGAGGCGGTAATTACATGTACATGGGAATTACATACATGTACGCGTATTGATATTCGTTCCCATAGTTTTTCTTATAAGGCACTTAAAACAAACAAAAATAATATTATTTCAAACTGTAGAATAAAGGACGTTAAGTCAGAAGATTTGTTTTCGCATCCTTCAACTGTGTTTATTGTTCGAATGTGCGGGATACCTATAAATGTGGATTTATCGAGTTCGATTTTAATCATAAAAACTTCCTCTGAAAATGAGTCCTGGTTTATGACTTTGTGGGCTAAATGAGTTAGGCTCTAAACTTTTATCTGAATCTGTAGAGCTTAGATATAAATTGAAAAGATCACAGCGACGGGGAAGAGGTAGACTGCAAAGCCTTTCTGCATAGATGATGAGCGTTATAACTCAATAATTTTCTCAAAACTATGGTTATAATTGGACCCAATGGGGGTCTCTTCCTTTGATCAGATCAGAGTAACTGTGACTTTACACTGGAAAATGTCACTCCTGTGAAGGTTTATCACCTGTAGAGCTGGTCTTTCCTCTGATGCTGTGTTCATTTCTCATTAGCATTATTCAAAGTTTAGTTGTTAATTAGGTTGACACTTCAATTGCAATCATCATCTGCAAGATTAGTCGGGATCATTTGCATAAAGAAATAAAAATATTCCTTCTTTGCACGTATATACACGCAAAGGAGAGACGACGTTATTTTGCTATTCGGTAGTTGCATGGGGCTAACCGCCCCGTGAAGGGGACAGTCCAACCAGAATTGGTCTCGTCAGTTTCTTTTCTTAAGACGACAGAAATTTTACACGACTCGATGTCCCATGTGTGGCATCGTTGAGGAACGTATGTGAGCGTCAATACTTCCTAAGTGTGCAGAGTGTGGTTTCTACATTACGTGCGAAAGGGGATGGTCTGTGAATGGGCTCAGAGCAACATACCACGTTGCCTCCCCCTTGAAAAACGGGAGCGTGTGACAGGGGTGCGATCACACCTACAAAATAGTCATCTAAGTAAGGGCCGTTCGTAAGTAATAGGCATTCTTCGAACTACACAGAACTCGAAATTAAAGGATGGCAATGTAGGAAAAATTATAACAAATTTAGGTGCCTTTTAAAATTACGCCAATTCCTAGATAATAAGTTCGTCTTTGCCTTAAACACGTTAATATTTTAATCTGATCGCTGATTCATATGACCATGACATTGAACTCAAACCCAGCCTGTGGTGGTGGGAAAAACTGGATTTACATCTCAGTTTTGCCAACTTATTGGCTATCTAGTGAGGGTGAATTGGTTCATATCTTTGAGCTCTTATTTTTTATTCATAAATAGTAATACGAATGCCTTTATTAGAAGGCTGCTTAGATTAAACGAGACGGTATGTAGCATTGCTTAACTATTCGCAGTAGGTTCTCAATAACTTTAACTTCTCACCCCTCTTTTTATCTGATAATGGCGAAAACTGGTCAACAAATGACTGGAAAATCGCCTATGCAAATGAAGCTTCCAAAAAATAAAATTAAATGGTAAGTGATCCTGGAGGACCTATGACAAACAGCCTTCCGTGGCAGAAATGAGCGATACCCAACCGGCCACCTCTGAAAACAAGTAGACACATGCTGTAATTGCTAAAAATCTGCAGAAAAGTGGCTCGCAAGCCGTTTACCGTAAAATAATTAAGCTTATTTATATCGAGAGGCCTTGGGGAAAATAAAGAGAGCATAGAGCAATTTGCATCAGCACGATTCTGTGGGCTCCCGATGCCGTGGGCTCCTGCCTTCGCTTCAATTAACAGAGCAGCAGGTGCTCTCGGCAGTTAAAAAGATAAGCCACCGAGGAGGAGGGCAGAGTTTGGGGTTGACCTGCAGACACTGCGGTCTGCCTGCTGATTGGATTCGTACCTCGCTGTACCAATTTCTGAGGTGTTAATTTAACTGTTCCTCTCTGTCATGCAGGTCTCGGCCCTGAAAAATAAGCTGAAGAAGCAGTCTACCGCTACGGGGGACGGAGTGGCCAGGGCCTTTGTCAGGGCGCAGGCTGCTCTGTTTGGCTCCTACAGAGATGCACTAAGATACAAACCCGTAAGCGTGCTCTTTTGCCACTATTTCAGTTTGCTTTTTCGTCGTTCTTTGGAATGGGGCAAAAAAAACAAAAAACAAAACAAACAAACAAAAAAAACATTTTAATATTACACCTTATAAAGGTATCAGGGTCTTGTCAAATCTAAAACAATGTGCTTTAAAACATTATGTTCCATCTCTAATCTCTTGACTACTTGTTCAAAATGTCGTGATTGTTTATACACATAGAAAAAGGATCGTTTTAATATTGCACCTTAAAAAGGTATCATCAGGGTCTTGTCAAATCTAAAACAATATGCTTTAAAACATTATGTTCTATCTCCAATCTCTTGACTACTTGGTCAAAATTTCGTGATTGTTTATACACATAGAAAAAGGATCGTTTAGACACACAGATTACATCTGACAAAATTAAACCTGTGGATCAGTCCCGTAACGGACCAGTGTCTCAAGGGCGATCCCTTCGCCGAGCACTCAGCGTCCTGGTGGCCAGGCAGTCTGTGTCTGCCTTTACTTTTCCCCTAAACTTTGACCTCAATTCAGAGAATCCTGCCCGAGGCTCCAAATGTCCGGAGCTGCTCAGGCTTCCAAACCCGTTATCTATAAAGTTCTTTCTCCTTGGCAATGCCTTTATCTCTTCTGCTTTTCATGGCCATTCTCATTCCTTCCTGATCCTTAAAGCTGCAGTTCACACCTACCCGTTCCACCTCTGAATAGATTATACTTATTTTCTTCAACACCTATCTTCTTCTCCCTTTTTAATATATTATTTATTATAGCGATTATATTATTATTTTTACTGATATTCATGACAGTATTTGCTGCTAAAACAATACCTGACCATCGAGGACCTGCTGGGTGCTGGGCGTTGATTCATCCTGTAGATAAGCTGTTTAATCTTGACAAGACTTTAGAATGTTACTCTTTTCATTTTGAAGAAGAGGAACTTATAGAGTTTACATAACCTCGCTAAGGTTCCCCAGCTAATAAGTAATGGGACGAGCGCTGGATTCTGTTCTTTCCACGGTCCCACCCTTGCTCCCGCATGGAGTGTGTGTCCTGTCTGGCCTCTGTTGTACCACACCCTCCTTGAGATAAGTTTGCCGACCTTCTATTTCTTCTAAATGAAGATGCCGGAAGGCATTCAATATACACATGAGAGGACTGAACAAATGATACAGTCTCTTAGTAATTTTCTCAAAAGTAGAAGACAGTATAGGCTCTCGTGGTGTCTGTGTGAATCGGAGAAAGAAATTTGTCGTCCGTGCTGTATGTTTCTATCTATGGTTTGGGGTACTTGGAGGTAACTGCCACTGATCAGACACCTTCCTCCTCCTCCTCCTCCTCCCGCCTTCATCCTGGGAAGCAGGGGGCCCTCAGGATATATGAATCTTCATTTTCAAAATGCAAATAATATATAAGCTAAATAAGAGTAACTTATTTTATAAATTAAGCACCTAGAATGTCTGAGTGACCACTCTAAATATGTCGTTGTTTTTCTGATAGTACCTACCTAATTTATACCTTTTAAACGACACCCTCTCAAGCTAGACAAATAAATTGTTCCAGCTCTTAATTACAGAGAAAAATATAAAATTCCTCGAAGTGGTTGGAAGGTGATTTAAATACAATAATGTATGTGTTGCCTTTTGGGGGTTGTGAGCAGCTGCAAGTTAGCTACTTTTTAAGACTTCAGAAATGTGAGATCAAGCTACTGCGCTAAATGACTTGAGGAACAGTGACAAGAGCTCAGGCTCACAGCAGATGGGGTTAGGTTCCAACCCTCCTTCTGTAACTGACTGGTTTTATTTCTTTGGGCAAATTAACTTCAGTGCTTTAGTTTCCTCGTGTGTTAAAAAACATAAGGTAATATTTCTTGGGTTATTTAGAGGATAATGTGCAAGTTGCATAAAACAACGCTCGGCGTACAGTCAGTGCTCTACATATTAGCTATTATCATTAAAAATGACAGTTTGGAAGCAGTAAATTTAGTAAGGAAATCCTTTTAATGTAACTAAAACAAAGTGCCCTTCTCTGGTCTCCCAGAAGGAAAACACCATCATAAACGTTGAGTGTACTTTCAATTGTTGGACTTTTTCAGATACGCATGCTATTTTTAAGACTCACGATTCCATCTAATGATATTAAATCTTTGGGAAGATTTAGTCTTACTTCGAGGGAGTGAAATCGAGCAACCTTAAGAGCCCAAGGGGGTCTCTGATTAGGGAGCTACAGCAGCGCTCACTTCGGCAGCACGTACACTAACTTTGAAATGATTCAGAGAAGGCTAGCGTGGGCCCTGCCCGAGGATGACACGCAGATTCGTGAAGCGTGCCATCATTTTAGTGATGGCCAGAGCGAGGGAGGAGGTAGAGAAGGGTAAAGGGCTCAAATGTAAGTGACAGAAGGAGCTCTGACTTTGTGTGGTGAACACACAACGCAATATGCAGAGGACGTATTGTTGAATCGCACGGTTGAAGCCTATGTCATTTTATTAACCAGTGTCACCCTAATACGTTTAATAAAAAAGAAAAACGGAAGCTCTGACATAGGCTTGTCAGGAGCTGGGTAGTTCCGCTGAGTAGTCTAATGGGGGGTCAAACAGACCCTTGCCTGTAACAGCCTGGGGTCCAGCTATTATAGGCAAGGGTCTGTTCGACCCCCTGTTAGACCCGAGGACCTTGAAGTTGAGTCAGTGTCTTACTAACGCCTTCTCCTGACTCTCTGTGGTTCTTTTGCACTGACTCTCCATCAAGACCGTGAAACTCTTTATTTCCGTCCAGGGCGAGCCCATCACCTTCTGTGAGGAGAGTTTTGTAAAGCATCGCTCAAGTCTGATGAAGCAGTTCTTGGAAACGGCAGTTAACCTCCAACTTTTCAAGCAGGTAAGAGCGGGCTTCGGCGTTTCTTTCCGTAATGGTTGATGACAGGGATGACACGGAGACGCGGAACACATTTTCATCGCTGTCACATTGGGTCCAAACCCCGAGTCCTATCTCTTCTAGAATTTCAGGAATTTTTTTCTGTCTCTTGTCACCCCAAAGCTATTTGTGGTATGGCACGCTAGAACTTTTGCGTAATAATAACTTTGCCACTGAAAAATTCCTCATCGAAAGTGCTAAGCTGATGGCCTCGCCGAGGAAGGGTGTTCTCGCACAGTGGAAAAGAAACATAAATGGTTTTATGGAGGGCGCCTTAGACTAAGGAGTTATTTTGGTATGGTAGAACGACATGGCGAATGAACGATGTGTTTTATGGGACAGTCCCAGTGTAATCCAGTTTATAAAAGTCATTCATATACGTGTAATTTTTTAAGCTTCGCAAGATGTTTCATAAATCATAAATCGAAATTCAGAAAAAAATGCATGGTCATCTATACAGATGTCTCGATATTTGGCTCAGAAAATGTAATCGTCATTTTAAAAAGTAGTAGCTTAACGTCGGAATGCAGAATATGTCAAAGCCTTGGCATAGCAAGTCTCCTAATTCAGGCTTGTCTCAGTTTCTGTTTATATAATTGAAATTAAGTTCTTAATACTTGCTTTTCTATTTCCACATGACAATTTAGCTGTCAAGTTAGCTATATGCATTCAGTATTTAATGAAGAGCGACAGTATGTCACAAGCCATGCTCAGGGCCAGGTACAAATATGAACAAAACTCAGTAATGCCTTTGAGAAGGTGACAATCTAATGGAAATCCCTTCGGATTGTCCGGAGGAAAGATACCAGGTACCTCGAAATAACCTTCGGATTTTGGAAGTAATTTAATTGGATGGTGACAAATCCAACCCAATTATTTATGTTCTGAGAAGGTTTTAAACAATGATCTGAGTTAGGGATTACTCCATGGGGGTCATAGCTGTCTTTCATTATGTGAAGATTTAACCTACGGAAAGGGTTAGATTGACCCTATACACACTCTTAAGGAGCAGACCCCGCTCCGACGGGTATTGGAATCAGTGACATCTTGTGAATTTCCAAGGCTGGAGTGCATTGCTCTGAGAGCCCCTTTGCTGCAGCGGGCTCTATCGGAGTCATAATTGCCCCCAGGGTCATAAGGAGGAACAAGCGACAGTCTCCATACACGCCGAGTGCAGTCCCGAGCTGCTCGTCCAACCGCGGTCCCCATGAGGACGTCCGTGGACGAGTGGAATTCGCTACGTTAAGTGATCATAGGAGAAAAATCATCAGGTCATCTCAACAGATGCAGAACGTTTTCATAAAGTTCATGAGGAAAACTAAAAAAAAAAAAAAAGCATGAGTAAAGATATTTCCCACAAATATGGTACTTAATATGAAAACACTGAAAATTTCCTTCTGAAAAAGGCACCTACCATTATGTAATTTAGCCAAAAAATAAATAAAAAATAAAAAATAAAAGTACAAAGGTTTAGAAAGGAAGAGACCAAACCGACATTATTTTTATTACTTTGATGATAGAGACATGTTTCTTAAGGCATAAAGGGACAAGCTTAATAAATTTGACTTAGTCGAAACGAACAACTTTTGGTCATCGAAAGACACCTTATTCACAATACCTATGAACTACCTAAGGATTTAGAATCTTGAATATAAATGAACAAATAAACTTCTACATGTTTGTGAAAAACGTCCAAAATAATGGTGCAAAAGACTTGACTATGCACATGCAAACGAAGAAATCTGAATGGCTAATGAAGATATGCACGATGCTCGGTCTTATTTGAAATCACAGAACATCGAATGAAAAATAATGAAATATCTGCCTGCAAACACCAGATTGGCCCGATTTTTAAAATCTGAAAATCTCAAATTTTGGCAAAGGCATGGAGTGAGAGACTGAGTTTTAACTTTATGGGCATGTAAAAATGCACAAGTTGCTTAGAAAAACACTTTGGTGCTACCGTTTGAAGTTAATGGAAATTTCTTATGCCCTTTTAATTTCACTCTAAATTATGCACCAAAAAGCGTTTACCAAAATTGCTCATAAGAGCAAAATACTGGTAGTAATCCTGGCTATCCGTCAGCATTGAAACGAGTAGATTATTCTGTTCATATGATAGGACACCGTACTGCAGAGAGATGAATGAACCACAACAGAACCGAGCGTGAATGAATTAAACGGAAGAAACACATCACTGAAGGATTAACACGATGTGTCCGTTTATTAATGTTCGACGGCAAGAAAAATGAAATAGTGTATTATTTAGAGAAACATTCACGTTTTAAAATCATGAAGACAAAGAAGGGATAAGCTACAGGGTTCTGGTCGAGAGGGCGGGGCACACAGAGAGGCCCTTCTAGAGAAGGGAATGTTCTGGCAGTTTGCTTTATCATTATTGTTTAAATTATTCATTTAAGTTCTTATTTAAGTTTTTTGAGTACTGTGTGAAAACATATTTTTAATGTTTCTAGATCAGCCAGTAATCGGCTGTGTTTTAGGTGTTGCCAGTTCACGTTCTAACCTCTCTCGGCCCCAGTGTCTGCCCCTCTGAGTTAGACCGAAAGGCTACCAAGGTCGAGATACCTGTCGGCTCTAGCATTCCACGATCCCATGAGGTAAACACAGCTCAGACGGATGACCGCGGGCTGCCCTTGGATAAACTCCACTTCAGATAATGGACTTGGAACGGATCCCAGGAACGGGCTCCTAAACCCACGACTCGGCGGCTGCTTCTCTCTTTCTCTGGCGGCTTCGCGAAGACTTAAGCCGTCACCTGAAGTCTGTTACCTGTAACCTGGGCGGAGGCTGGAGATTGCTCCGCGGCCGCACACCTGTGCTGAGGTCTCGCTTTCGAGCCATGCACCGTGGTCGTGGAGGATGCTGCCGCCCGGGCGTGGTGGGGAAGGAGAGTGCGTGGGGACTGTCTCCTGTTTTCTCAACATTTCTGTAAGTCTGATGTTATTTCAAAATGAAAAGTTTGAACAAATGGCCAAAAAAAAAAAAATACCAATAGAACATTGCTGTTGAGGCGTCCTCGTGTCTCCTTGCGAGAGGCCCTTTCTCGCCCCGTCGTCACCCCGTGCCCCGTCGTCACCCCGTGCCCCCGTGCCCCACTGCTTCCGCGGATGGCCTCGTTGTGACAGGTGCAGGGAGGACAGGCGCCCGCTCTGTTCTCTTCCCCGTGCCTCGCGTGTGGTCTTACGGACTGGCATGTCGGCCACTAACGCAATGCCTCTTTTCGCCTGTGACGTGATGTCCCGGCCTTGTTCCTCCGCTGCTTCGTCGCCTCATAGTTACGCCGCCTTCTTCCCCGCTGTCCCCTGCGTGTCGCTGTCCCCCGCTTCCTGCTCAGACCTCTGCTTCCCGCACTCACACCGTCCGGCGTGTTTGCTCAGGCGAGACCACAACTACGTTAAGTAGCTACATATGTGCCGAGCCCCTAGTACACCTTGAGCCTGGCCCCGTGCAAGTGCACAGGTGTGTATAGAATGCACGCGTTCAGACGCGTGCACACACGTCACCCTCATGTGCCCTCCCGTGTCCCTTCTCTCGGGAGCCAGTGCCGCCCCGCCGCCCGAGCCGGGACCCTCCCTGGCCTTCACGTTTTTCTGGTGTCATCGTGGCCGACCTCCCTCGCATCCGGTGTCTACTTATTTCCTATGTTCTGTCGATTCTGCTTTCTGAATGCGACTTAGATTGATCTACTTTATTCTTTCCAGTTTCAGAGTCAGTGACTTACGTCGAGTGACTGGCCTTCTGTTCTCTCGTTCGGTCCGTCTTTGAAGCCGTCCTTCGGTCTGTCTTACTCACGTATTTATTTTTAAATTATTATTTTTTATTTTTCGATTACAATTGGCATACAATAGTATATTCGTTTCAGGTGTACAACACATGAGACGTTTACATAACTCAAGAAGTGACCACCCCGGTAAATCCAGTACCCATCTGACACCGATCTTCATTCTGTTTCGAGAGTGTTCTTTCTGTAAAGCAAATCTTGCATCTTTCCCGTGACGGTTAAGATGAAGTTCAGCCCCCCAGCGTGGCGCATAAAACCCTTCGTCTCCGGGCTTCTAGGTCTAATTTTTTTCTCTGATATTCTCCAGTCCCCTTGCTCACAGCCCTTCGGAACGCTTTGCTATCAGCTGTCTGAAAACGGCTTTGTGTCTTTATGCTCCTGAACTGGGATGGTCATAGGTGCTTGTTACATAGAGAGGGAATGAATGCCAGTAATTACGAATAAATAAAATAAATAACGTTTATCGAATGCCGACTTACGCCGGGCTGTGTCCGAATGCTTTATCGGCTGTAGTTTAATCTTCACAATAACCGCGTCACGACACACTCTGTTACTGCCACGTTGCGCGTCGTAAGCCAGAACTACAGGGAGGTTACAGAACCTCGCGGGACGTGGCGCGGTGGCAGAATCAGGGCTCCGGTCCAGGGGGCCGTTCCGTTTTCCTGTCTCTCCGGGAATAAATGAACGAATAAACAAACGCGCGTTTCCCTTTTCCTTCTCATCGACTCTCGTCTGCAGACTCTCTCTCAAAAATTCTTTCGGGCTCGGTTCAGACGTCCCTTGCCTAAGCTCTCGATCTTGCGGCTTCTGGGAGGTTCCCTCCCTTCCAGCATTTTGGATTTGCCCCAGATGACATCCGTGGGTTTGTTTGCCTCCTTCTTGGGTTGTAGGGTCTGAAAAGACCATGGACATCGTTAGAGCGTTTTTGCATCCTACCGTCTAATACATAAGAGGCATTTCGTATTGTGAAATGAATGAAATCACGCGAAATCTGGGGAGCGACTCCCTGTTACAAGCAATCGGCATGAAAACGTTTTTGGCAATTTTGGCAGACGAAGAGCTTATAGCATTGAACGTAATGGGACTCATTTCAGGGTAATCTAAAAATGGTGGGAGTCAGGTGTTACTGTGTCTTAAACTGGCTGATGTCTGTGACTTTAAG